TGAATTTTGAGTATACAGCAGTTACGAATAAGTTGTGGGAATAGGAATGATAATAGGAATCTGGTTCCAAATGACAGACAACACAAAATAGCAGAAACTTAAACAAGGTAGTTGATTTCTCTCTCATATAGAAGTTCAGCAGTGGGCAGCCCAGGCTGGCAGAGCAGCATCCTGAAGCTGTCAGCCCCCAGCTCCTTTGATCTTAATGCTGCCATATCCTCAGCACAGGGCTTCCACCTGATCCTCCAAGAAAGGCAAGCTCCTGCTTCTGAGGATCTTCCTAGTCGGCTCATATTCCCTTTCTGCTGACATACCATTGTCAGAACCTAGTCCACATGGTGGGAAACTGAGAAATGTAGCAAATCAGACATAAATGCACACCCAAAAAAACCAAAGCCGTTTTTTTTTTAAGGGGGAAAATGGATATTGGAAGTGAACCAGCAGTCTGCGAGACTTGAGGTGGCAGTGTCTGGATAGATTATAGGATTGCATGTTACCAGGCTCAATTCAGGAACGTGCTAAATCTTTCCATTTACTTAAAGATCCTGCAGATCTTTTGTTTGATTTTATTCTTAACTACCTTATAGTTGTTATTGCTGTTTATAAATAGTAATTTTTTTCTAAATGATTTCAATAGAGGGAGTGTTACTTTTTAATCATACTCTCTTGTTAGTTTTCATGCTTTGTAAATGCTCTTGGATTCTCTGGGTAGACAGTCATCATTTTAATAATGAGTTTTGTTTCTCTTTTTCTATCTTTATGTGAGATTTTTGTTTCGGTTTGGTTTTTGTTCTCATTATGCTGTGACTTGTGCTGAATGCAAGAATTGGTAATAGGCATTTTTGTCTCTTCATGAATGGGTACTGAATTTTGTTAAATTGTTTTCACACCTATTGATATGAGTGTTTGATTTTTCTTCTTTAGTCTGTTAATGTGTGGATTATGTTGCTAGATTTTCTAAGATTTCTGAGATAAATCCTAATAAAGTACATCATACTAGATAATTATTTTTTAAATATTGTTGGATTGAGTTTGCTAATATTTTACTTAGGATTATTGTATCTACCCAAGGAAAATAAGCTATATATTATATAATTGTTCTTCCTCGTAATGGCCTTGTCTACTTTTGGAAACAATGTTATGCTAGTCTCAAAGATTAGGTGAGAAACTCTCCTTCCTTTTCTGTACTCCAGAACAGTTTATATGAGACAAGGAGTCCTTAAAGGTTTCATAAACTTCATCTGTAGGTTTTTGGTGGGTAGATTTTTAAGTACTGTTTCAATTACAGTAAAGTATTATATATATCCAGAAAAGTACATGCTATGTAATAATAATCATACAAATACACTTTTTGTGTTTATTTTATTCATCATTATTTGAGAGATTCAGCCGCATTGCTGCATGTCATTATAGTTCATCCATTCAAACTGCTTTATTATATTACATTATGTGAATATGCCATAACTTACCCATTCTCCAGTTGATGGGCATTTGGTTAGTTCCAGTCTTTAACCATTATAAATAATACTGCTGAGAAAATTCTAGTCCATATCTTTTGGTGAACATGTATTTGAATTTCTTTTATACAGGAGTGGAATTGCTGAGTCTCACACATGGCTTATCTTTAGTAGATGCTCCTGAACAATTTTCAAAGATAATTACCAATGTCTATTTTCTCTAGGATAAGTTTTAGTAAGTTATACTTTTCTAGAAAGGTGTCTTTCTTCAAAGTTATTGATATGAATGAAGTATTCTTGTGATTTAAAAAAAAAAAAATCTGCCATTGCATCCCTTATATTATCCCCAATACTGTTTATGTGCTTCTCCCTTTGTCTTTTCATCAAGGCTGCCAGGTTTGCCTGTTTGATTTGACTCCGTTAAGAGACAGCAGAGGGTTTTGGTGACTCTCTGCTGTTTCTTTGTTTTCCATTTTACTAGCATTTGCTCCCAACCTTCTACTTTCTTCTTTCTCATTTCTTTAGGTTTTTGTTACTTCCTCTAATTTCTTAAATTGGATATACTTAACCGTTTAATTCTCAGTTTTCGTTTTTTTAATTTAAGCTCAATATTTTAAAATTACGTCAACCACTTAATTACATCTCACAAACTGTGATAAATAGGTAATAGTTTTATTTTATTCATTCTTAGATACCCTCTAATTTTCATTATGAGGGTTTTTTTGATTTTCCAATGTGTGGGGTTTTTTGTGTTAGTTATTATTTTGATATTGATTTCTAGTTTAATTACATTATGGTGAGAGAATATAATCTGTAATGTTTATGATTAGGTATTTGTGAATAGTTCATATAGGAACTAGTACACAATTACTTTGTAAATACTTTTCATGTAATGAAAAAGAATGTGTATTCTCTAAATATTAAATGCAAGATATATATGTTCATTCAGAAATAAACTTGTTATTTTTATATTATTATTTTTTGTCTGCTTGATCTATTGGTGATGGAGTTATATGTTGAAAAGCATATGTCTGCATATTTCCACTTGTAATTCTATTAATTTTTGCTTTCTGTGTCTTGATGTTATTCTGTTGCATATAAATATGATGTTCATGTATTCTGTTGATTTTATCCCTAATAATGCCTTTTTTGCCTTTGAGGTCTATTTATTTGCCATGAATCTAGTAACACCAGCATTCTTTGATTCGTGTTTCTCTGATTTTTTTCCCATCTCTTTACATCAACTTGTGTATGTCTTTATATTTTAGATTTCTCGTTTGTAGGGAGGAGGTGAGAGGTTAGAGTGGCTTCTGTTTCCCTAATTTTTTTCACATCTGTTTGTTCTCTTTAAGGTCCTCCCGTGACATCCTAGTCTCTTTGAAGTGTGTAATCATTTTCAGATCCTCCTATTTTTAGGTCCTTGGGGACCCCGGCCTCCTCTGTGGTGTGTGTGCCGACTTGCTCATCATGGGTGATTTCCTTGTGGATTTTATAGTTTTTGATCCTGAGTTTTTCCCCACATGAGATTTATAGCTTTAACTATAAATCTCATGTAACACCAGGGCAAGAGAATATCTCTGCAGAGTAATTTTGTATTTGCTTTTGCTTGGCTCCTTAGATATCTCCATCCCAAAACCAATTTTTATATAACTTTTTGATGGGTTCTGAGACCACATATGTATAGTATAACTTGAACCCCAAATTTGCCTGTGGTTCTTAATTCTCAGGCAGGACCAAGGTTCCTGCTCTATCCCGGAGGAAGACAGGATTTTTAATTTGATTTTTTTCATCTCTTTCGCTGAGGATACTGCCATTTGAAGACTGTATCTTTAGACAGATAATTGAACTCAAAATTGTTACCTCTTTCAGACCCAAGGCCAGATCTTCCAAACCCAAACAGTGATAAAACCCAAGTGGTTCTGGATGAGCAGGACTGTGCTCCCCCCTCTCCCAGGCTGCTGTCCGGTGTGGCTCTGCCTCCCATGCCTGCTTGTTCCTGAGGCCTTGGGACTCCACTTACTCCTTTTATGGTTAGCTGAGTATGGAAATATTTCTCTGTTAATAGCATTATTATTATTATTGTTTTTTGATTATGTGTCTTTCATTTATTCATTCAACAAACATTTCCTAAGCACTAACTCTGAGCCAGAAACTGTGCCAGGCATTTCACATTAAAAACTTAAATTCATCCTTCTCAGAGCTATCTGAAGTGGGTTCTATTATTATTTCCATTTTTCACAAAGGGGAAATCCGAGGGTCAGAAAGTAAGTAGTGGAATGGGCACTCAAAAACCTTGCCCTCCACCAGGCGGCCGGCCACTCCATCCCAGGCGGCCACTCCACCCCAGGCGGCCACTCCATCCCAGGCATCCACAGGCGCACATCCCACTCAGCCTGAGAAGATGAGCATCCTGGGGAATCAGTGTGTCCAGAGCGGCACTGCCATGTCATCGGCTCAGCATTGTCCCTGAGTGGCAAAAATGCTTCATATCAACCTGGGTGTGTATCCAAGCTCTGCATGTAGCTGGCGGCTTGACTTTGGGCAAGTCACTGACCCACTGAGCCTCCCTTTCTGCAGCTGTTGGTGGACAGTTGATATGGTTTGGCTCCGTGTCCTCATCCAAATCTCATCTCTAACTGTAATCCCCATAATCCCCACATGTCGAGGGTGGAGCCTGGCTCCACCTTTATGGTAGGAAGATTTTCAGATACTTAGTCTATAATTTTGTCAGGACTAGAAGACTTCTAGAAATAGAGATTGAAATTAATAAATTCAAAGATTGCCATATAGCTAGAAACATGGATTTTTTTTATAGCAGCATGTGATGCATTTTTCTTCCCCTTGTTGGCTTTTTTCTTGTTGTTGGTGACAGAGACTAAACAAGGAATGGCATTGCTCTCGGTCTTTAGGATCCGTGAAGCCACCCTCAGAAATATGGCTACTGGTCCTCCCTTCTCACCTTTTCCCTGTTTGTCGGATTTCCCTTCACACTCTCTAGCCTTTTGCTGAGTCTTTATCACAGCCTGCAGCCTCCCTCTACTGTGCGCACTCAGGATTCACTTCAATCATAAGTAGAAGAGTGGTAGAGTAAGGGAGCATTTTAAGGCCTGTAATGGAAACACCTGATTTCTGGCTGCCCACGGTGACTTAGCCTCCTCTCCATGTCGTTCTTCCTGTCACGCCCTGCAAAGCCCTGAGCTCCTAAGAGTTAACTGGAGTTGGAACAGTCAGTGGCGTCATAGGTTGAAACTAGGAGTGTCTGTCTATGTCTTTCACTGCCTTCCACAGCCACTGTGCACAAACAGCTTTTGCACTGCCCATTACTTTCTTTTCTCCTGAGCACCTACTGCAGGCTGCCAATTTTGTCCTATTGACTGAAGGATGTCGTGATACTTTTGGATTTGAATAGCTTGCCTGGAGCAGATCAATGTGACACTTCATTCCCAGTCTATAGATGTAACTGCACTGAGAGAAAGCTCTTCCAAGCATTATGATGGTTCTGCTCCTTCTGTGTCTGATAACTGTGTGTTGATCTCTTTTTAGGGAGGAATGATCAATTGGAATCGTCTTTTCCCTCCTTTACGTCAGCGACAAAATGTAAACTATCAGGGTGGTCAGCAGTCTGAGCCAGCAGTGCCCCCTCCTCTAGAAGTTTCCGAGGAACAGGTAACTAATCAGTAATATTTGTACTCATCCTAAATCCATGCTTCAGAGTTGAAGCAGTTTTGATCAACAGGACTTGAAGGTAATCAAGCGTATAAATACAAAGATGGTGACAGCAGTCTAGCTGCCACCATGATAGAGACTTTGGGCCTTTTTTGGCTACTGTGGTTCTTACGAGTTTGAAGAAGGCATTATTTGGGCTGGTGGAGAGTGGATTATTGTAGCTTGTTTTGGATGCTCTTACACTTCGTATACACAAGAAACTAATGAGATTGATTTTCTGTAAAGGATCGGAGGAGGTGCGCCTTTGACATGCTTTCACTTTTGTATGGTTTTGAGTCATGTAAATGTTTTACTTATTCAACAAGCAGACCAAAAGGACAGGGTCAAATGTAAAATTGAAAAGAAACAAACAAATGATCCAACTACATTTCAAATGAATAACAAATGAATCACATTGAAGGAGGGAAAATGGATTTCAATAACTTTTGAAACTGATATACCCTTAGTCTAAAGAAGGAACAAAAAAAAACGACAGACAAATCTTAAACACTTCTTCATAGGTTTAGTTTTCATAAGGGTATAAGTATACCAATTCTAAAATTATGCTGCCTGTATTAGAGGTTTGAGTCAAGGAGGAACTAGTTTGATTTTATTATGGAAGAAAGAAAATAAAAATATAAAGCAGGGGAAGACGGGGAGAATCCTGTGGGGTTGGGAAGGAATTATCACTATCAGCATACACTCATAAGAGTGTGTGTGTGTGTGTGTGTGTGTGTGTGTGTGTGTGTGTGTGTACACCCTCACTCTGGCCTAGAGGGCTCAGAAGCAGTGGCCTCCCGGTAGCAGTGGGCATACATACCGCCCAGATCTGGCTTCCAAACACTCTTCTGCACTAAAATGAACCAGGCCTCTCTAAGGAAACAGTGGATTCCAGGCCCAGGGTAGGGAACATATAGGATAACCATGGATCGTCGTGTGCCAGGAAAGGAAGGAAGTGATCAGTCACTGGTTGGACATGTCAGAAGGACACTGGAGCCAGCTGCTGGCCACATCTGGGGCATCAGCTTTGGCGATCAAAATAAATAAAGGATAGTAAGAATTCATGCATTAGAATGATATTAATAAATATTTATATAAATACATACATTGGGGGAAAGGAAATGCTTTTCCTAAATGGAATGTCAAGTAATATACAAAGAATGATAGTATTAGAAAATCACAAATTTGCAAGCATTGTAATAAAAATCCATTCAGGGAAGTAACATCAATGAACTTAACCATTTTTCAGTTTTACAGTGGTGCAAAAGTGATATATATTCAGTAGAAGCCATACATCAAATTTTGAGTTTTGCCCTTTTCCCGGCTAGCGATACGTGGTATGAGACTCTTTTGCAATGCTGGGCAGTGACTGTGTACCGCTCTGTTTTTCATTTGCCGTATAATACTCAATAATTACATGATACAGTCAATACTCTAGATTTCTAAGAGATTATTTTGCTCAACTGTAAGGTAATGTTAAGTGTTCTAAGCATGTTTAAGGTAGGCCAGGTTAAGCTGTGATTCTCAGTAGGTTGGGCTTACTAAGTGCATTTTTGACTTATGATATTGTCAACTTACAGTGGATTTATTGGGACTTATCTCCATAAGTTAAGGAGTACTTGTACTCTCAAAGTATCCCTCCACAAGTTACTTATTAATTACAAAGGAAAATAGTAATTCTGCAGAGGACACCACATTAACCAAGTTATCAAAATTAACATTACCAATTACGGAACAAAGAATCATTATGTTCGTATCCTGAAAAGGACACATCAGTTATGTGTTACAATTGACATGCATAACTTTGATCACAAAGGAAAATAAGATAAACTTTATTTGAGGGACATTCTATAAAATATGTGGCCTGTGTTCCTCAAAACTACCAGTGCTCCACAGTAAAGGATACTAGGGAGTCATGCTGCCCAAGTGGAATATGTGATCCTGGACTGGATTTTGTAGTGGAGAAAAATTTTTGATGAAAGACCATTTTAGGATCAATTGATAAAATTGGACTAAGCATTGGATATTGGTATTATACTAATTTTACATTTCCAGGACTGGGTACATACTGACCATGGTTAGGAAAGAGAATATTCTTGTTCTTAAAAAATATACACTGAAGTATTAAGGGAGAAATACTTATATACATACACCAAAAATACATACACCGTACTGTATGCAGCCTACTCTAAAATGGCCCAGGAATAATACCTGTCCATGTCAGTACATAGTGTGTGATTGTGTGTATGTGTGACAGACAGAGAGAGAAAGCAGCTATGGCAAGATAACAATTGGTGAATCTGATTAAGGAAGATCAAGGGTTCCTGGTACTATTCTTGAAACTTTTCTAAGTTTGAAATTATTTCAAATTACAACCTTTTAAAAATCTATAAAAGAAAGTTAGGAGCGTTGCCATCATAACACTTTGAAATTTCCTTCTGCCTATTGTTTTTTCTTCTCAGCAAACAAAACAAATTGAGATCAGCATTTCACAGCTGACCACACCATCCAGGCTATTGCCTCCCCATTCCCTGTCTCCAGAGTGAATAAATGCCAGGTACCTGCCTCTGTGGCAAAACTTTGTCCTCATCTTTTCCAAAACTCAAAAGGTAACCCTGGGCAGGGATTTCGTGACCACTCCTGGGTTAGACTGTGACAGATGCTTTTGAGAGAAACCAGTGTCATGCGCCCATTAAATGGATCCAGCCCCTCCCGCTTGCCGCTTCTCTACTCAAAGTGATGGTTTCAGAAGCTTTTCAGGATTGACAGGTGGAGTATGAAGACACAGTTTCCCTCTTCTACCTCCACTAGAAAATTTCCAGACAAAGGTTATACCCATGGATAAGAAAAGCCCAAAACTTGCCATTTGTAAAATCTTTCTATAACATGTTTAAAAAATAAGATACCGCTGTCAAATTCAGCTGAAAAGAAAGATCAAAATTCTGTTAAATTACTGTTTACTTGATAGAGCAGTGAGTCATATTCCTCATGGGGCAGCCGTTAAGACGAGGTATTTACAGGTGATATATTTCTCAGTTTTGGCACTTCAGGAAAAAAAAAAGTGTCAAAAAGGGAGAAAAAGGAGTATGTGTGTGATTGAAGTCTTTGGGGTTTTTTTAAAAAATGAGTCATTTTTTTTTATCATCCCAGAATGATAACAGCGAAGTTACATGTCATCAGCATCAGTTTAAAACAGCGCTTAATTTCTTCCTTGCTCTGTATTGTGAGAAGTTGTAAAAACATGAGGGGTTATTTTTAACATAGGCTTTCTTATACATTGATTTTCTAAATCTTGTTTTTGTTGTTTCTTGATTATCCTGAAAATAGGTGTTGCAAACCATTGTTGCCTTAAAGACGCAAACTTCTTACTGGTATTATTCATTCTGCAGGCTCTTAGTGTTTCTTGTGGTAGGTACTATAGAGATTATAAAAGATAAAAAAGATACTGTTCTTGCCCGCAAGATGTTTACATAGAAGTTTTAAAATTTATAGTGTAATCTCTTAGCCAGTTTGTTTAACCACTGTCTAAAATTTTTGTTAATAACATAGTTTGAATTAACAAAAGCAGGTTTTTGCTTAATTTTTCAATTGAATGTGTTTGTATTTTCTTCATTTAAATATCAGAGTCACGTAATTTTAGTGCAATAAGAAACTTAGTAATTTTTTAAGCCAAGAAAAATAGAAATGATTATATGAGTTTTTTCTGCTGTAAACAAATACTTCAGGAATTTTAGTGAGAGTTCAAGAAAACCTAGTAGATGTGAAATGTATGCCATGTACTTTGAAAACAGAATATTATAAGAAGGATGTGCATCCTTTAATAAATCCAATAATAGTTTGGTAGCCATAGAAATATTTTGCTACCTTTTCTACTTTTGCTATTTTTGCTGTTATTAAGATTCAAGATTTTTAGTTCTTCAGAATCCACTCCCGTTTTTTGGTGAGTAGACCCACGACATCTCTGCCAATTCATCACCCCTCAGAGATGACACCCCAGCCCCGTTTAAGAATAAGCCAAGAAGGAGGCTGCGGTGCAAGGCTGGAGAGTGTCAAGCCACCCAATACACCCTGTGCTGCCCAGCCAGCCAGCTAGACGGTCGGGATGGTGACATCGACCCCTGGAAACCACAGGGTGAGATGTCTGCTCATGCCTTCCCTGTGCAGACACACGGGGGGAAGATCAGAAGAAAAACTCAGAAGTTCTTATCAATTTCACAGAACTTTCCAGGTGCTCTGAGAATTGGAAGAGAATGTCTGGGGAAAGAGAAGTCTACATTTGATGAAAGGACAAAGATGGATAAAATAGGGTGTGGCGGGGAAATGAAGGATTATGGACCAACTCAGGGAAGCAAGGAGAAGGCCCCTAATGCCTCCCAAAGACCACTGCCTGTTCTGTTCAGGATCCCACCCAGCATCAAATCCATAGACCCTGGGGTTGCTTTTGGAGATGCATAGACAAGCCGGGTAAGCTGTGGAATCAGTGACTGTGAGAGGCAGCTTTAGGACAGCGAGGCAGGGAAGCTGCTAAAGATGGACAGGTGGTGTCAGCGGCTTTGAGTCTAAAGGGAAAATGGGTGGCACGAAGGTCCTGCCATGGATGCCCAGAGAAAGGTAGACAAGAAAGAGGAGGAGGAGGAGGAGGAAGAAAAGTAAAAAACTGTTTGTCAACAACAACAAAAAAATGCCACACCAAAGGCCACTTGATAAACTCTTGAGTAATCAGATGTGCTCAAATGTCTATCTTAAAAATAAATAAGTATCCATTATGCCATCTCTCTCTTTTTTACTGGTTTTTAAAAACTAGGTATCTTTATACTACTATGACCCATACTCTAACAAATGATGAAATTTTTCTCATATTTGCTTCTGATTTTTTTAAATCAAAGGGTGAAAAACGCATCAAATGTATCTCATCTGAACCCTCCCAAAGCTTAGAAAATGACTATTAGGTAAAATCAGAC